GAGGCTTGAATTTTTTCTTCAGTTCCCCCAGCTTGAGAAATGCTGACCGTGTTCTTCCTTTTTGATTTTCTGATTCCAAATCTTTGCATATTTTATTATAGTATTTGGCTTTGTCTTCTCCAGCTGATCTTTGAAATTTTCTGTTCAGCTCTTGGACCTCTTCATTTCTTCCATTTGCTTTAGTATCTCTATGCTGGAGAGCAAGTTTCAAAGTCTCTTCTGACATCCATTTTGATCTTTTCCTTCTTTCTTTTCTTCTTAATGTCTTTTTGCTCTCTTCACGTATGATGTTCTTGATGTCATCCCACAACTCTTCTTGTCTTTAGTGTTCAATGTATCAAATCTGTTCTTTAGATGATCTCAAAATTCAGGTGGGATAAATTCAAGGTCATATTTTGGCTCTCGTGGACTTGTTTTCATTTTCTTCAGCTTCAGTACACTACATAGTCTCTGCAAAAATCCTATTTCACTGGGGAAGTTCTAGAAACCCCTTTAGGTATTCCAATCAGTTAAACCTTCATTTGTCTGTCAGTTTGTTGTACTGTGGTGGCTTGTGAGTTACCGTGATTCTGAAAGTTATGCCACGGATATTTTAAATACCAGCAGGGTCACCCAGTGGACAGGTTTCAGATGAACTTCCAGACAAAGACCAACCAGGAAAAAAGAGTGATGAACTACTTGCAAATATTTAGTCACTGAAAATCTTATAAATAGCAGAGAAAAATGTCAGATATAGTGCCAGAAAATGAGCCCCTCAGGTTGGAAGGCACTCAAAATGTGCCTGGGGAAGAGTTGCCCCCTCAAAATACAGTTGACTGTGATGATGTGAATGGAGTAAAGCATTCAAGAGGAAAGCCTTTGTGACCCTCATTTGATGATGGGGCACAATTCAAAATGAAGAGAAACAGCTGTAACATTCATCCATTAAAAATCAGAACATGGAATGTACGAAGTATGAATCTAGGAAAATTGGAAGTTATCAAAAATGAAATCGAACACACAAACATCGTTAGCTTAGGCATTAGTGAGCGAAATGGACTGGCATTCACCATTTTGAACCTGACGGCCACATGGTTTACTATTCTAGGCATGACAAATTAAAGAATGGTGTTGGATTCATCATTAAAAAGAATATATCAAGATCAGTCAGTCATCACGTACAATGCCATCTATGATAGCATAATATCCACATGCCTACAGGAAAGACCAATTAATACCACTATTATTAACATTTGCACACCAAACACTAAAGTCAGTGAGGATGAAATAGAAGATTTCTACCACTTTCTTCAATCTGAAACTGATCAAGATGTATTGATCATTACTGGTGATTGGAATGCAAAGGTTGGAAACAAAGAAGAAGGATCAGTAGTTGGAAAATATGGACTTTGTGATAGAAATGATGCTGGGGCTCACATGATAGAATTCTGAAAAACTAATGATTTGTTCATTTCAAATATCTTCTTTAGACAGCATAAGAGATGATTATACACATGTACCTCAGCAGGTGGGATACACAAAAATTAAAATTGACTACATCTCTGGAAAGAGATAGTGGGAAAACTTCATATCCTCAGCCCAAACAAGACCAGGGACAGATTGTGGAACATACAATCAATTACACATATGCAAATTCAGACTGAGGCTGAAGAAAATGAAAACAAATCCACAAAAGCCAAACTATGACCTTGAATATATCCCAACTGAATATAGAGATTACCTGAAGAAACGATTTGATACATTAAACACTAAAGATCTAAGACCTGAAAAGTTGTGGGATGACACCAATAACATCATACAGGAAGAAAGCAAAAAGTCATTAAGAAAATAAGAAAGAAGGAAAAGATCAAAATGGATGTCAGAAGAGACACTGAAACTTGCTCTCCAGCACAGAGATGTTAAAGCAAATGGAAGAAATGAGGAGGTACAAGAACTAAAAAGAAAATTTCAAAGGTAAGCTTAAGAAGACAAAGTCAAATATTACAATGAAATGTGCAAAGATCTGGAGTCAGAAATCCAAAAGGAAAGAACATGGTCAGCATTTCTCAAGCTGGGGGAACTGGAAAAAAAATTCAAGCCTCGAATTTCATTATTGAAGGATTCTCTGGGCAAATTACTGAACAATGCATAAAACATAAAAAAAAAAAAAAGCAAGGAATATGGAGTCACTGGGCAGTGTTTCGGTCTGTTGTGCATAGGGTCACTATGAGGCGGAACTGACTCGATGCCACCTAACAACAACAACAACAACAATCAGTGAAAGGCTGACTGCAGGGTTACAAGCTTTCATGTCTCCTGATATTCCTTTCTATCCCACCCATGTGTCTATTTTACAATAGTAGGCAAGATAAACCAATATTCCTAAGACAGTCAAGCATCTTAACATTACTTCTCTTTTACCTATTCAGACTATGACTTGACCATTGTACTCCAG